TTTAGGGTTTTCCTTGTGGTTAGATTTAGTTAACTTGAAGTGTGTGCCCTTTAAACTCATGGTAGATTTCAAAGATCACATCTGACTGGTGGAAAAAATGTACTGCTAAGATACTGCTAGTTTGTCTACCTGGTCACCATGTTGCACTTCACAGTTGTTGTTTTCAGTGATTTACTAGCCTTGGTTTAGATGTGCATTTTTATAAATGCCCTTTTTTTCCCACCTTGATCTTGCAAAGATTTTTGAGTATTAGATTTTTGGTGGTGGTGGTGTTTGTGGTCAAATCATTGCCCTAATTTTGACAAACCATGGTTTTATATTTATAATTGAAATCCATTGGCATTACATTTAAAATCAGTAAATTTAGACTTACACATTTGTGGGGGTTTTGGTACCTGGAATCGAACTCAGAACCTCACGCTTGCCAGGCAGGTGCTATGCTGCTGAGCTATATCCCCGGCAACATTTAAAAGTTATAGCTGACAGAGCCTACATAGGAGTGTCAGAGTTAAATTCTCTTGGTACTCTGCATAAGTGAAGTAATTTGTTAGCAATGTCTCCTTGTTTTCTTTCCTCTTTTACCCATTTCTACCCCCCATCAAATTTCGACAGCCTTTTTTGTTTAGCATAAATATCTTCTGACTTTGAAGATGGAAATGTGAAAGTTGCCATTTTATTTCCTTGCCATTTCTTTTTCTCTTTCCCCATTTCCCTCTCACCCCTTATAGAGATTTACTTGCCAGTAAGTCTCACTTATGTGTCTGTGTTTTTGGCAAGGTAGTTTATAAAAAAGTTCTAGCTGTAAGAAGCACTCAGTTTCGTTTCATTTTTAGTTATTGGGGTTTTAATTTTTCTTGAATACATCAATTGCTTTCTAATGCCAAGGAAAATGTCCATTTTGTTGAAATGCTTTGGCTTATTTATAAAAGACATTATTTGCTATTTAGGATGTTTTAGAGATTGTGCAGATTTTTATGGAAGCATTTTGGAAGCATTATGGAAGCATTTTAATTTCTTAACATGGGACAATTTGACGTTTGTCAGTGTTAAAGTAATTTTAAAATTGACTTAGCCTCCTTTAGACCAGTGTTTTCTTAAATTCTATAATCATCTAAGTTTGATTTGGTACATCTTCTGTTTTAGGAAAGACAACAGTATGTGGAAGCTGTTGAGTTGGAGACTAAAGAAGTTCTTAAAAAATTATTTCCAAAGGTGTCTATCCCTTCTAATTTGGTAAGACTAATTTATCATTTCTTTAAAATATGACATTATTTAAGAAAGTTGCGTTTGGGGCTGTGGGTTTAGCTCAGTGGCATAAGCGCCTGCCCTGGCAAGTGCAAAGTCATGAATTTAATCCCTGGTACCAAAAAAAAACCCAAAAAGTTGTGTTTACATAGCATTTGTTTTCAGCACTTGGATTTTTTAGTATACGGATTCCTTAATCTTTCCATTATTACCCAGGGAGCTTTTAAGTAGTTAAGATTAATAACTTAGTTTAAAAATTTTTATTCAGTTGATATTTTTGTTCTGATCTATAAAATTCAGAGCATCATAATCATATCTGGAAAAGAAGTGTTTTTGAATTGTTACAATCAGTAATACTCAATGGTTTTGCTCAAAGTAGAATTGAGTTCTGAACCTCTTCACTTTAGCAGTGTTTCTGAATGTATTTGATACCATGAACCAGGCTCTTTACATATCAAAAATTCAAGATTTTGGTCATCTATTAACTTCTTCAAGAAAAAGTCTTAAAGATAATAGAAAACTTGCTTTACTTAAGATTGACATGTTTTAAGTGGAAGAGAAAAATTACTTTGGTTCAGAAAATTAGTACAGTAAGTATTTGAAGTGGAGAAGGCCAGTGAGGATGCAGGCCTGTTTCCTAAAGAAGGTGGGTGTTGTAATGGAAAGTTGTTCACATGTTCTAAAGTAGGAAGAATAGAATAATGAACCTAACATCCCAGCTCAGCAGTTATCTATATATACCGTAAACAATCTTTACATTCCACCTTGCACTGCCCAGATTATTTTGAAGGAGCACAAACCTCAATACTTCATCTGAAAACATTTAAGTACATATTTCTAAAAGATAAGAATTTCTTTTAAAATTTCATTGAGTATACGCTTAATTTTGTAAAATCATTGCTTGATTCTTCCAGGTGGCTCATACAATTACCTGTTTTAATTAAATAATAACAAAAAACTCATGATTGTTTTAATCAGGACCCAAATATAAGATCAACATGTGACTGGTTTAAGATGTCATTTTATTCCATCAGTTCCTCCTGTCCAGCAGAAACCCCTCTACCCATTTTTCTCTTTTAAACCTGGTAGTTTCCTATGCAGTTTCCCTGAGTTTAGATTCAACTGGTGCCTTTGTGGAGCCTATGAGTTGGTATTCAGGAGAGGCATAATCAGATTCAGTCTTGATATTTTGGAGGTAGAAAAATGTGAGCAGTTGTATTCTTCCATCAGTAGATCATTTATAATATCTGCTTTGTCTTTCTTTGAGCTTATTTAGGCTGATTGTCAAATACTTTTGACACGACACTACTAAAATTTGGTAACGTCTGTGCTGTGTAGTGTAACAAGATGTTGCTGATTTATTACATTTCTCATCCAAACTGAAATCTCTTTCTCCTGTAGGTATGTTCTGCTCCTCTAGGTGTGGTTGTTAAGGGTAGTATAAGTACATTTAATGTCATGTTCTATGTGTAATCTGGGTTTAGCTGCCTTCTTTCTTAATATTGCATGTATATATGATCTGTATTTAATTCAAGTTAAGGAGAGAAAATTTATTTGTTTTTAATGTAAATATTGATGATACATTTGTGCTTGGACAGTTAAACAGGTCTCTACCACCTGAGTTGAACTGATGAAATACGTTTTATTGGGTAAATAGGTAAATAAACTCAGTTCCTTTGCTGTTCTTATGTTGGTTCCAGGAGATGCAGTTGCTGCTAATATATTTCACATTTTTTTTCTTTTGTGGCCATGATCTGTTTTGTTTCTATTTTATATTTTGTTAATAGAAATAAAACTTAAACTTAGTGAATTATTTGACAATATTTTATGAGCCAAGAGAGTTAATGCTTAGTAATTTCTATTTTTCAAAGATTTTTGTAAAATAACCAGTAGTAAAAATTTTCTTTTTAATGTAGCAATTTCATTCATACTAACAGTTCTACCTAGCTTCAATAAATAAATCTTCATGAATCGGTAAAAATTTATAGATTATTATAAGACCTGGGTAACATTGTTTGGCTTTTGTTTTTCCATTTGCTATAAATCAAATATTTCTGCATGCATTGTGTATTTAAGAAATATATTTAATGTTCTGTGGACTGCTTAAGAATTTAGCATTTTGGGGGCTGGGGATTTAGCTCAGCGGCATAAACGCCTGCCTTGCAAGCAGGCAATCGTGAGTTTGATCCCCGGTACCGATAAAAACGAAAAAGACCAAAAAAAAAAGAATTTAGCATTTTAAGTTTTTAAAAGATGGAAAGACTATAATCTGTTTACCTTACATACTCATAAAACAATAAGCTTCATACTAGTATGATAACATAATCACTGGAGATAATCTTTTCTGCATGAGAGAAATTGTTTTACTATTTGCTATTTGTGTTTCACTAAGCAAATTAGCACAGGAGAGATTAAGCAATATAAGCCGGGAAGAGGTTTATGAACTGTAAGCAATTGAATCAGTTTTTCATTTGATTTTAATTTATGTTGGATCTTAACATTTGAAGCTGTTAAGAAGGATTTTACAAGTATACATTTAATCTTGATTCAGATTTATAATGTCAGAGTCGTTCTTTTAAAATGGAGGGGCTTATTAAGCTAATGTGGCATTGAAGATTGAGAATACTGTGGGATGTTCTCAGCATCCTCTTTTGTTTTAATTGGTGATTTATAGAGCATTCTGATACAGCTACATAAAAGAAGTTTTATTTTGAAATTAGTGGAAATAGTACAATAATTCTTTTTTCCTGAATTAAACTAAAGCAAACACTTGAGGAATAAGAAAAAATAACTTCTCAACTTTTTTGAAATATTTTTAGGGATGCTGGAGCACCTTCAAAGAATTTTAAATGTCTATAATTGCAAATGTTCTTGCAATATTCTTGCAAATATTCTTGGTCAGGATAAATAAGATTTTATTTTCATGGTAGTATATTGGTATATTGTTAGTGTTTATTTTCAAGACTGAGTTATGTTCTCCTTAATAAAAGTTATATTCCCTTTTGAAATATCTAGGATGATTCTGATGATGTCTATTTATATTTCTTTTAGAATTACCTGATTGGTTATCTTAAATGTTTGATCATATCTTAGGGGTAATTTTTGGAAATTGATGGCGTTGACTTTTCTCCACAGAGTTACAGTGAATGGTTGTATGGATTTGAAAAGAAAGCACAAGAATGCATAGCTGGAACTTCAGTATTAGAAGAAGTTAAGGTGAGTTCAAGAAGTGAACTGTCTGTATGTTAATGAAACCAGGGAAAAAGGAGCAAGTCAGAAAATGTTTTCTTATGTTCTGGGAAGATAAAGGATCTATTTTTAGGAGAATAATCTTTATAGAAAAGTATAAGAAAGTAATCATGGGGGCTGGGGATTTATCTCAGCGGCATAAGCGCCTGCCTGGCAAGCAGGCAGTCGTGAGTTCGATCCCCGGTACCGATAAAAACGAAAAAGACAAAAAAAAGTAATCATTTTGTGTACATTTAGTGTCTTCTTTGCATTTGAGTTATGTAGAAACCTAATGTTTCTCCTTTCTTTAATTCTGTATGTTAATGATTTCTGAAATTCTCAAGAGAGTTTGGCCTCTCTGTTTAGCTTGTGTTTATTTTTCCTTTTTTTAAAAAAATTTCTTTATTATTATATGTTTTCAGTGCATGGAGTTGCAGTCATCTAGGGGAGTGATTACGTGTGCCTTCCATAGCTTGTTTCTTTTTGCTTTATCCCCCTTCCAGTTATACTGCTCCATTTTTCATTTGAGAAGTATAGAACACTTCACAAACTTGCATCTCATCTTTACAGAGAGGCCATGTTAATCTTTGCTATATCATTCCAATTTTAGTATATGTGTTACCAAAGCAAGCACTAGCCCAAGTTTAAAAAGTAAAGTCATTGAGGTAGATAGGTAGAGTTTCACTGGTCTGCTCAAGTTGCCCCAAAGTACAATTAACACCTCAAGTAGAATTAACAGAACTTGGCTTGGTTTTTGTCTGTGACTTCTGAAATTGAAAGGATGTATTATTGTTACTGTCTTGTATATCCTAAGTGGCAGTAGGCAAAGGCATTGTGTGGAATAGGCATTGTAACTGTCACATGTGTCTGCTTTGATTATACCACCTGGCTAGAGAGAAACAACTTGTTCATTATAAAATCATGTCTTTTTTGGTTGTTGTTTGTTTGTTTTTGTTTTTAAGAGTTGGAAAATTTACTGGGGAATAAGAATGAGGAATAGAAATAGCTCCTGAGAGGCAAGAGGGTTCCTGAGTGGGTTGCCCTTCAGTGTGTTTTGTAGTGAGTAATTTTATTAGTGACCATCAAATGTGATAAACAAAGTCATTGTACTTAATTGCCCTTTAGTGTATTGTTATAACATGTTTGAAACCAGTTTTGAAATGTAAAAGTAGGGCCTGAAGTGAAGGTGAAGCACAGAATTTACTGATAAAACTTAGTAAAGTTTTTTTTTTAATTATTTGCAGGTTTTAGAGTATAAGTTGAGAGAGGCTGATGAAACACACACACTATTACAGGTGGAATGTGATACATATAAATCAGTCCTTGCAGAAACGGTAGGAAATGATTTTTAATTTACATTGTATTATTAAACTATTAACTTCTCCTTCATGGCCTAAGTATTCTATCTTGGCATTATACCATGAATTCTTTAAAACTGTATCTTTGTCTGTAGGAAGGCATTTTACGGAAGCTACAGAAAAGTGTGGAAGAAGAGGAAAATAAATGGAAAGTTCAGGTCGATGAATCACAAAAGACAATTAAGCAGGTACTTAGCAAAAAGCATTCAGATCAGTGGTTCTCAGAGCTGGGCCTGGGCCTGGGCCTGCAGCATTGGGTCACAGACTTCTGTGGGAAGTACATATTCTCAGCCCCTCCAAGACTTCCCCGTGTTCTGAGACCATTAGGGGAGGCCTGCAGTCCCTGTGTTTATAGCCTGCTTGCTAATTGTGATGCCCATCACACTGAAAGTCAGGAGTTTAGAGAGTGACTTAAGGGGGGACAATAGAGAGTAAAAAGTGATTTGAAAGAGAATTTCTAAGTCCTAACATATAGTAAAGAATTCTGAGTTCAGAGTTAGTTTAAATATTGATAATTAACACAAGACAATTTGTATTCAGAGAAAAAAATCATAGTTTTGTGAGACCTGGTCTCACAAATGGAATGTATTTCAGAACCTCTGAATTACAAAGTCTAAACATAGAAATCTGTAGCCTACATTTTTTTCTGTCTTTTTAAAAAATGTTGTAACAAAAATATTAAAAGGAAATTTGTTACTTGTATGCATTACATATATTTTATATACAGTCCAAGACAGTTCCTCTTCATTCAGAAAAAAGCACCAAACAAACAAAAATGGAGGGCTGCAAGTTGGACACCTGCTTATCTCCTCCGAGGTTTACTTGGTCTTAAAATTATTTTTAGATGCTGTTATCAATTACATCTTCAGAACAAAAGTTAGAGCAATTAAGAAGAGAAAATAAAGATATTGAAAATGTATGTTACTTCTCTTGTAACCTACGAACTTACTTTTGGCATTACAGGTTGCCCAAAGACTTGTTTTTTAAGATTACTAATGACATGGTTATGCTCCTAATATGTTGTATAGTTTTTTAGTTGATCCAGCTTTATATTCCTAAGTGCTCTGACTTTCCATTGTGAGAAAACATAATGAAAGGAAATCTCAAATGTGTTGACAGTTTGTTCTTTGTTCAATTATTAGCTGAGAAGAGAACGACAGCACTTGGAAATGGAGCTAGAGAAGGCAGAAATTGAACGATCTACCTATGTCACAGAAGTCAGAGAGGTATTTAGAATTTTTTCAACGTACCTTCTCAAGTTAAATTAAGTTTATAATGGACTGGTAGAATAATTCAGTGTAAGTTTTTGTGGAAGAGCTTCCAGTAGCAGTCAAAGCATAGCCTCTCATAAGGAGATCTATCTTAAAACTCTAAACTTCATTGCAGCTGAAAGATCTGTTGACTGAATTGCAGAAAAAACTTGATGATTCATATTCTGAAGCAGTAAGACAGAATGAAGAGCTAAATTTGGTAAGAAGCTTGTTCTCCACTGGGTACCAAGTAGGCTGTGGAAGCAGTTGTGTTGACATGTGGAGAAGCCATCCAAACTTCTTTTCCTTGCTAACCATCTATAGCTTGGCATTTTAAAAGTTTTAAGATAATCTTATTCTGGATGTCTCCTAAGGTGATCTTTCTCTTCTTGACTCATAAAATTATTCTTTTAGCTCCTAACAATAGCATGTTTGGCTTCCAACTCTTTTTCAAAGTTTTCTGCATTTTTCTAAAGCCTAATTTCTTGAACAAAATGAATAAAGAAACAAAACAAATGGCTGAGTTGTGAAGATTCTTTTCTCAAGCTATCATAGTTAACTGTCCTCTCGTTTTCTAGCCTGGGAGACAGTTATTGAAGGTTGAAGTTGCCTACTCCTCATTCTAAAGGCAGTAGACCAATCCAGCTTCTTATTTTTCTTATCTCCTTATAAATTATAAAAAATAAAGAGCTCATAAATTTCTTTATTAGCATGTTATTTCATGCATAGTAATCCAGAAAGTACAGATTTAAGAGATTAGTTCAGGGGCTGGGGATTTAGCTCAGCGGCATAAGTGCCTGTCTTGCAAGCAGGCAGTCGTGAGTTCGATCCCTGGTACCAATAAAAAGGAAAAAGACAAAAAAAAAAAAAAAAGAGATTAGTTCAGTGTCTTAAGACAATTCCCTGCATTCTAATTCTTCTTAAATTTTGTAGAATTTTATGCTTATTGTTGACACATTTAGTTCTGAGATGAGTATGACTATCTTCTTCCTTGTTTCAAACATGTATTATATCTTGTAACTTGAAACTTATAGCACAGGATTAGATTTTTTAAAAAATTCCTGGAGCATACTGTGTGTTTGGGAAATTATAGTAAATTTTTTTCTTTATCCAAAATTACCCTGCCTGGGGTGGAATTTTCTTATTAGCTCTTTACATGTACCAAGGAAAACTTTTAACTCATTTGTGGCTGTCTTTCTGTGTTACGACAGTAATTCATGAGAATCGCCATACTATTGGAAATGCATGTAGGACACTGTACACAGCTTTATTTTTTAAATGAAATATCTTACTTATAAGTGCTTTAGTTGAGCTCATGCCCACTGCAGTATAAGATTAGCTTTATTTACACATTTGCTATATGCTGCATAGATCAGGACTATGATATGCCACTTTCATAAATCCTTACAAATTTATAAATGGGTTTTTAAAAAATCTTTTCTAACTAAGTGTTGGAGGCATTGGTTTTAACTTTGGGGTTCAACTTTGTATCAGATACACAGAATTATGGTTGCATCTCCATTTAACCTGATGCTCTCTTTGTTCATTTGCTTCTCTACTTCTTGCCTGGAGACAAATTTAAGTAGTACTCCCCCATCCCATCTTCCCTTTTCTCTTAAGTTTGGAATCTTACTTGTTCAGGTTAACTATTGCCAAAGTTTAAGATAAGATAATTTTGCCTGCACATACTTTATTTTGGGGTCCGAAGACTAACCTCTGTGACACAGAGGATTAAACTAAGGATTAAGTGAAGAAGCAAAGACAGTTTTGATAGTTAAGTAGAGCTCCCTCAAATAAGATTTCCAAATTGGAATTGGAATGCCTCCCATGACCTGTGCCTCCCATTTCTACACATCAGTGTCTTTCATTTTCTCCTCTTAGGTCCCCAGAATGGTAAAATTGTGCCTAAATATTAGAGTTTGGGAGGTTGACTGGATGTACTTGGTATTTTGAGAGCAACATAGTGCATTTCCCTTGTTTCTGATTAAAGTTGTTGTCAGAGAAGTAGCACTGGCATTTCTACAGGATTGTTAAACTGTTAAAGAGGCTACCAAGAGTGTTTGCTTAAGACATTTCTTGCTGATGTAGTTTAGATCAGTATGATCTTGCACTCCTCTTTTTAATGAAATCTTTATATGACATCAACATTTAGGGTTTTCATTTTACTGGGTTTTCAGTCTTCTATTTAGTGTCTTTAAAACATACAAATGGATCTTTTTAAGTGAGCTATACAGATTAAGAAGGCCTTACTAGTGAAGTTTCTTTTAGTTTGAAATGACTTCAATAAGTATTTTATGGATAGTGATTTTTTTAAAAGGCTACTACAATTTTGATGGTTTTGTTTTTGGAGTTGCAGTTTTCTACTCTAAACTCTAGTTCATTCTTTCTCTCTCTTTTTTTTTTTTTTTTTTTTTGTACTGAGAATCAAACTCAGGACCTCATGCTTGCCAGCCTACACTGCACCACTGAGCTAAATGCCTAGCCCTTCTAGTTCATTTCTGTAGCTTTTCTTCCATTTATCTTGGCAGATGGGAACATCTAGTGCAACATATTGTCCAATCCACTGTGCATAACTATTAGCAGTCCCACTCTTTTGTATTCATTCTTTGATCCTTAGGGTATCAGCATAATCAAGAAAGAATGCAAAGTGAGTGGTGTTTTTTATTTTTACAGTTGAAGACACAGTTAAATGAAACTCACACAAAACTTAAAACTGAACAAAGTGAAAGACAGAAGGTAGCTGGTGATTTGTATAAGGTAAGGCACTGCTACACGTAGGTATCACAAGTCTGTTGTTCCTCACGTCTTAGTCACATGCACTGTCATTTCTGGACTTGTTCTTTTGCATTTTTTAAAATTTACCTCATCACATTTATAAAATTTTAAATTTAATTATAGTTATTTAAATTTGGTTGCATGGTAGGGATTTAGCTGAGTGGCACAAGCACCTTCCTGATAAGCGTGAGGTCATAAGTTTGATCCCTGGTACCCCCCCTCCCCCAAATTTGGTTGCATCATTTTTTTTT